GTGTATTACATATGTTATATTATATACATATACCTGATGTGTTTGATCCTTGATATCACTTGAAACCAGTTTTCCGGTGGAATCCTGACCAATTTGACCCGATATATACATTGTTTTGTCAACCACAACAGCGGCACTGAACGGAATGAATACAATCATTTCAATAGTTAGATCAATTCGATATTGTGTAGAATATGTAACAATTACTGTTGTTATCACCTACCTAATTGGAATACTACGTAGTGTCTTTGGTGCTTCCAGTATTTTGCGAACTGTTCCAGCCATGGTTACAACGTTCAACTCGTTACTTGTACCAATGAGTGTACACATACAGAACCCCTGGATGACCTTTGTATGTTACTGTGTGACATTTCGATGACCTTACAATATTCCGTTGTTAAAGGCTGGCCGTTTGAAATCATCATGGGGCATATAATTTTGTGTAATAAAACTATTAAGTATTGATATGACTATTAATTATTGGATAATTATAATATGACTAATAATCATCTACAATTGTGGAAGGCCAGGTTAGGTTTATTTATTACAATAAGGACAACGAGTATTAAATTGAAGACTAACAGCATTATCTACCTGTACCATTTCATTATAATAGCTCACATCACAGTACTGGTGACTTTAATATAATGCTGTGATATGTTCAAAAAATTTTGTGAACGAATTGAACCATTATTGAATTTTTTGCATATAATGCTAAATTAGAAAGATATAAAGTGCAACTTGTCATGGTAGAAAATCCTCAATGAGTACATTTTGAATATTTCACTCTGGTTAAAATAACATTGTTCTTATTTTTAAATACTTTTCACATTTATAAATGAAATTCAAAGTCATGTTGAGACAATATCGTATTGTTGTGAAATCTGCATAAAATCGAAACCTCCTGCTTATTTACGACGGATAGTATGATAAGACAGAGAATTCAGTGTGTTTCAAAAATTAATGGGCAGTGCAACAAATGGTACAATCTGATTAAAATCTGATGTAGTGTACGGGCTTTAATTATTTTGGCTATAAACTTATTTTAATTTTATTTTTTATTACTTTTGTTATTAATGCCTTTTTATTTTATTATTTTACTTTGATTTGTTGTGATTCTTTTAATTCCGCCCTACATACATCTGACTCGATGCCTATGTAACGAGATTTCAACGAGACCCACTATCGACGATTTTAGTCAACGAATCACATACCTCCTTCTATAGCGCAATGATGACGTCACCGGGCAGAGTCAGATGGCAAACACACTCAATAAAATGGCGGATTATATTGTTTATATTGTGGCACGAAATGGTTCGAGTTTAA